TTTACTTCATAAAGATTTTTGATTAGGATTACAACATATTAGAGTTACAACATATTACAAATTCAACCAATTTGACTAAAAATTGACCAATCACTTTCGAGTATTCCTTTCTTACTGTTGAATGAAAGGGAAATACTCGAATGTGATTAGTCAATTTTTACAGCTTACGATCAATATAAATGTTCCCTTAGGTGCGATTACATGGAGTACGGTATGTGATACGCAGTACAGTAAGTAAGAGTACTGTACGCAGTACAGTAACTGAGCACAAGAATTGTCACATTACACCGTAAATTACATGGAGTGCGGTTTGCACGCCATTTGCAGCACGGGCTAGTGACAAACTCACATTAATATGAATTTTTTAAAATATATTAACTTATTTTTATACACACTTTATCGATACTTTTATTTTTTTAACAAATTTACTTAATAATTGCGTTTAAATTAATTAATTCTATTAAAAAGTGCACAGCAATGTATAGTAATATGAGTTTGTTAATCCATGCCGCAAATCGCGCTCCATAATAATATCAGCAAAAGAAATAGGCGATATGTAAGCACGATTCTCTAGTTGCCTAATTAATTATTATTAGAGCAAGAATTTTCGTAACATTTACTTAGATTTAAATTGTAGACGCACAAGCACGTATACGTACAACTTATTATCGTGTCTCCAAGAGACGGCAATAAAGTGTACATCATACGCCAAAACTTGTGTGTTACTTACGTCTATAACTTAAGTCTCTAAGTAAGTTACGAATTCTTGTGCTCAGACCCTAATAATAACTAATTAGGCAACTAGGGAACCGTGTACATATCGCCAATTTCTTTCGCTGATATTACATGGAGTTGCGGCACGGATTAACAAACTCACATTTTATACATTTATTATACATTGCTATGCACTTTTTAATAGAATTAATTAATTTAAATGCAATTATTAAGTAAATTTGTTAAAAAAATAAGAATATCGATAAAATGTGCATAAAAATAAGTTAATATATTTTTAAAAATTCATATTAATGTGAGTTAGTCACTAGCTCATGCCGCAAACGGCGCGCAAACCGTGCTCCATGTAATATCAGCGAAAGAAATAGGCGGTACGTGGTACATGATTTCCTAGTTGCCTAGTTAGTTACTATTAGTTACTGTACCGCATATTGCATATCGCGTATTGTAATCGCATTCTTACGTTTTTCCTAAATCCTTTAGGATATCTACCCATGCAGCGGAATAACATAACTCTGAACGAGAGCGAATACAACCAAGCGTATAGAACCAATCACCAGCGTTCCGCACTAATTGCAGTTGATATGAAATGTTTGTGATTGGTTCTGCTTTTGTTGCGCGTTACGTTATGGGTAGGCTACATAGGTAGGCACCCTTATGTTCCATTAAGCGGAATAAGCGAAAGCGGAACACGCGAAATAATATAAAATCATACTTTTTATGTTATTTACAATGAGTGTTTTCTAATTGTAATATCCCTAAACACTTCGTGCACGGCGAGTTGTGTTTCAATTGTCCGTATCATCGACACAACGCTACATCTGTACTCAGTCGAAGGCAGTGTAAGTTGTGTTTTCTAGTGACAATTACATGTTACTAATTATAAATTAGTAATGTAATTGTAGGCTATAAATGAGGAGGATTGGAAGACATTGAGTAGCTAGTACTTTTACTTTTTTTTATGTAATACATTTAATCTACCTTTATCCGAAACAGATCTCAATCATGCACAATCTACACATTCTGTTCCAATTGAATCGTGCACAACAATACTGTGTGTGTTGCATTCCTGTATACGTTTGTGTTAAGATGTGTTAAGCAATTGAAAAGCACCCAATAATAATAAAAATAGTATTTTAATATAAATATAATCATGTATAACAAATTGGTAAACATTAGAACTTCTTTAGCAGTATAATATTTTTAACATAATCGTAAAACAATCTCACGATTGGAAACTTGATTCCGCTTTCGTATTTATCATTCAAGAGACATAAAAGAAAGAAAATAAACGGAATCGTAGGCTGTTGATTAATATCTATATTTATATTTACTGTAATTATCGAATCATTAATATTCTGCTACTATGTCCATATTAATGAAAAAGTACGTAATAAATCGCATTATATGGCTATAATATACGTCGATAGCATATAATATTAAGATTATGTACTTCCGTTTATTTTGCAAATTGTAACGGTAAAATTAGCGAAAATTAGTAAAAATAGCGGAACGATTCATTGTGTTGATTCCATAAGTTCCATTCCGTTATCAATTTCCGCTCTATGAAACGGCATCCTTAAGTCTATTCTACAATAGTCGTAGTTATAAGTGTAATTATAAATGGTAGTTGTTGTAAGAATTGACCAATCAAGTCGATTGTGAGAAAAATATTTCGACTGTGATTGGTCAATTCTTACAACTACCACTTACAATTACGGCTATTGTAGAATAGGTTTTATGTCCCATTGGCCTAGTTTCCATTGGGGGTTGAATTCGGATCAGAATGTGAAAATCAACCAATTACAGTCCCTTGCAGTCAAACGACAGGGGAATGCTCGACTGTAGTTGGTTGATTCTTACATTCTGATCCGGATTAAATCCTCGATGGAAACTAAGTCATTGAGTATATGCGGCAGCGGAATTGATTATCGTGTTGATTCTGCGAGTTCCATTCCGTTCCATTGTCAAATTTCCGCTCTATGCTGTCCCATGTACATGGAACGATGGATTTCTTATTAGAAAATTGAGTTCACTACAATTCCGTTCCGGAAAGAAATTTCTTTATCCGTTCCATGTAGATGGAACAAAATGGAAAACAGGAATGTCGCCTTAGTTGCAAGCTAATTTGTTTAATTTAATTGATATTTCATTATTTTAATGTGATTAAGGCTGTGGTCAAAATGCAACAAATGCTTTGAAGCATTGATGGACCAATTAGGGGTAGTCCTAGAAGAAAGAATTTTACAATTTTAACTGACCAATTAAAAAACGCTTCAAAGCGTTTGCAGCATCGCGTTGATATCCTAAAGTAGTAAATATGCATAATTTGTGCAATTATCTTACTTATAACATTACTTTGAATACTCAAAAATATTGAATTATAAGAGTGAAATATATTTTATTACTAAAATTCCATTGCCTTCCGGCGACATGGAACGGGTAGAGAAAATTTTTACGGAATGGAATGGCATGTTCAGCTGAATTGGTTGAATTTAAAAATTGAAACGAATATTCAGAAACTTTTTTTGTAAATCTACAATGATGGATGAAGAAGTAGTGTTATTACTAATGTTAAAGTTATTGCGAAAGGCAAGAAATGTTGGAGTGCTATTTCGATATTTAAGAGCATGTGAAAATTTTATTTATAATAGTCTATTTCGCTTATAATGTTTTATTGCAGAAATATATAAGAAAACGAAAATTCTGAATGTACAGTCAATATTTACACAAAGAATGAGACGGCGTACCAAGGCACAAGTAACAATTTAGTCTTTGAAATGCAAACGACCGATTGTGAGAAGTTCTTCAATTATTTCTGAATGACAACGAAATTATTTAAAAAATTGCTGACATTATAATTGGACTATGTATAAAACTATATATAAAACAAGAATATATCGTATTGAAAAATAAGAATTATTATTAATTTTCTTCTTCAAAATTATCAAATTCTCAACCATCCAATAGCTGGATCGACATAACCTGATATTTTGTTGATTTCGTATGATCTCTATGTTGTTCTGATCATGATTCCAGTAGTTCTGATATAGAGAAACTTCTTAAGCCGGTTCTACATTAGTTGTAAGCCGATCACAAGTTTGTTGCGACAGCCAATATGAAGTGTTGATTTCAAAATGCAAATTTCAGATTGGTTGTTGCAACAAACTTGCGATCAGCTTGCAACTAATATAGAATCGGTTTTAGAGAACGGAATGCTAGTAATTCATTTCTAGTAAGAAATTCGTTCCGACGTTCCGATTCCGTGTATATGAGACGGCACCCATGGGACGACATCCTTAGGCTGCTTTCACAAAGCATAACTTGCAGCATAACTTGCCAATCAAAAGATTTGTTCACGTCGTATGCTCCAATATGCTTCTGTCATAGCTCTTTCTCACTCTAATGCCCTCATTAGAGTGAGTATGTGAGAAACTACAGTTGTAGGAACTATGGCAGGAGTATGTTGGAGCATGCGACGCGAACAAACCTAAATTATCTCAACTAGAACAATAGTATAGTAGCTGATATAATTTGATGAATTAGTTTTATTAGTTGATGTAAGTTATGTTTATGCTGCATGTGAAGCCTCACGTAGAAAAGAAAGCAGAATAATGATTGCAGATCGTATTGATCGCGCTGTTCCGTTCCGCTGTAAATTTCCGATCCATGGGACGCCAGCTTCACCAATCACGAACGTTCCATACTTCCACATCCCATGGAAGAACACTCTGACAGGCTGCTGTTTTTTTTGTCTTCTGTCAAGGAATGTGAACGCACCCTTACTTTCATTATGCATAGCCCTTAAACGAAATGACAAATATGAAGTTTACTATTCTCCACGAGAGGTCTCTGTGATATTTTTCTTATCTGTTGATAGTTTTCATGACGAGATGAATGCGACCATCTTATATCTCGATAGATCCGCATAGGTCTGCATAGATTCGGGAATTTCTTGTATACATCATCTGTATCTATGACAATTTAAAAACATGGCTACCATGTGAAAATGAATTGATTTACTGTAAACAAGTTTCTATCTGTTTGTTATGAGAGAGCTTTGTTTTGCGGTGTCGATTGCACAAATCGCCGATTGACAGAAACGTGTCTCATACTTTGAGATTGGATCATAGATCCACTGAAAGTGTCAAATAATTTTCGGGAGTGAAAACTCCCACACGAACTAACAGTAACGCAGGTTCTGTTTCTCACGCGCAACTGATAGCCTCATTGCCTTCGATCCGTTATCTGGAAATATTTTCATCTTGCTACGAAGTTGAAGTGCATTATAAATTCATGTAAAAAAAGCTCTTAAAAATAACCATTATCAATTTCTTATTTGAAATGCTTTAAGATCATTCATTAATTATATATATCTCTATTGCAGATGCAGTTTAAGAAGATCTAAAAAGTGGAACGTGAGAATTTTGTACAGTTTTTATCGTTTACAAAGGTATTGCACTATAATAAACATCTATGGATACTGCAAATTTTGATGTTATGCATCATCCAAAAATCATCATCCATTTGGATGTCGATTGCTTTTATGCTCAGGTGGAAATGATTAATCATCCTGAATTAGAGGGAAGGCCATTAGGTGTGCAGCAAAAAAGTATAGTGGTTACTAGCAACTATCTGGCAAGAGAATATGGAATAAAAAAATGTATGTCAGTGCAAGAAGCCTTGCGTTTGTGTCCAGAGCTAGCTTTGGTAAATGGAGAAGATTTAACAAATTATCGTCATTACTCAACTAAAATATCTGAAATTTTGCATCAGTTTACACCATTAGTGGAAAGACTTGGCTTTGACGATAATTTTCTTGATGTAACATCAATTGTAGAAAAACAACTTAAATCTCAGAATGATACAGAACTTGACATGAGCAGTTCAAGTACAGAATTTGAAGATTTAAAAGAAGTAAGCAAGATATTTGGTCCTTCTGAGGAGGAATGTCCATGTGGTTGTCATACACGCTTGATTATTGGCTCGAAAATAGCAGCTGACATAAGGAATCGCATTTATGAAGAATTACATCTTACATGCAGTGCTGGAATAGCACACAATAAACTTATAGCTAAATTAGCAGGATCATTAAACAAACCAAATCAACAAACATTAATCTTTCCTTGCAGTGGTCCATTATTGCTCTCGACAATAGGTTCTGTATCCAAGATACCTGGTGTCGGACAAAAGACTACAGAATTACTATTATCGAACAATATAAGAACAGTTGACGATATACGTAGAATACCTTTAGAAAATCTGGAACTAAAAATTGGCATTGATCTAGCAAGACGACTGAAAGACAATGCAGAGGGAATTGATGAGACAGCAGTAAAACCATCTGGAAAGAAACAATCCATAGGTCTGGAAGACGGATTTAAAAGTGTGTCGTTGGTAGCCGAAGTAGAGTCACGGTTAGGTGCACTATTAAGAAGATTAACAGAATTAGCAATGGAAGATGGTAGAATTCCTATTGCTATGAGAATAACAGTGAGAAAGCATGATTTGAACAAACCTACTTCAGGTAAGAGGGAGACTAGGCAATGCGCATTACCAAAACATCTCTTACCATCCACAAAAAACGGCGTATACGATCATAATAAAATGTTGACACTTGCCATGAAGCTATTTCATCGAATAGTTGACGTCTCCAAGTCATTTCATTTAACACTTCTGGGAGTTGCATTCACCAAGTTCGAGGAGAGATCATATGGCAGGAGTAGTATTGCACCTTTTTTGTGCAAACAAGTTGCCGTCCATTCCGTTTTAGACATCAGCTCTGAAGAAGGTATTTCTGAAATGAATCAGGGATCCCCAATGAGTATTAATCAAGATAGCAATGACAGCTCAGATCAATCGGCGATGAGCTTGATGAATACTGCTACTTCAAGTCTTTCGTGCTCACCAATCTCAAAATTATGCATGGCAAGTCAGAACATGGAAGATGATTTACAAAACGAGGTAGAACCACTACCGAAGAAAACCAAGCTGGAAGTATGGCTGAGAGGTCCTCGAGAAACACCAAGTAATGAAATGGCTGGTTTGAGATTGAGTCCTTCATCACCAATGCAATTATCACCTACGGTGGATACTACAGTCTTCAAAACTCTATCCATTGAGAGGAGAGAAGTCACTCGTTCTTGGCCCACAACCAGCAAACCAAAACCAAATAATATACTTAAATACTTCATAGCTAATAAGTGACGGAACTGTGTGATCTAGTATTGAATGTCGTGTTTACACATATGCACTTGAATTGACAACATTAAATGACAGCACCATATGGTATTATGCAGGATATGATTCTTAATTTATACTATTTTGGATGCCAAATTCTAGAGTATAAAACATGTTATATGTGACAAATTATCCCATACAGTCTTTTTTCTAAATTATTACACAAATTGAAATACATACAAGTTAAAAAGATTTACAGCGTCTCTCTCTTCATATACATTTATTATAGAGAATCTAGTATTTTGTTTAAAAGTGAAAGGAATACAAATAGTACCAATAATTAATTAATTCGAATCTGAATATATTGTACAAAATAAATTTACACTTGCAATACTTTCTTTAAAATGTTATGATTTGGAAAATAATTTGAATAACATTACTTGAAAAAAAAAACATCAGAACGGAACCTGACATTTCTCATAATTTTTTGGATGCTGAATACGAGCATTTTCTAAATTGCTTCATCATATTACAATTTGGAGAAATTTATAAAAAAAAGTTTTTATATATTTTATCATGTTATAATGTATGACGTATACTAGAAAAATTTTATTGCAATCAAAATTAAGCATGTTAGGACTCTCAACTAAAAGGATTTTGTATCAGCTATAGGAGATAAGATATTTATGATTATTATGGGGTTTATTGTGAATGATTGTTGATTATTGTGGGATCTGTTGAAAAATGAACCAGTCATTGACAATTTATTAGTTTTAATCATGTTTAATTAAATGTAATGATTTTTTAGTCCATTGTAGACGAATCCGATGTAAAAATTGATAAATTCAAAATCATAAAAGCTATCTATACATTTTGCAACAATTTAAACATTTTTTACTTTTAATATCTGTTATATTGAATCTGTTATTTTGAATTCGTTAATTTTAACACAGATTTATATTTAATGAAACACAGATTCATATTCAATAATAAAAATACTTATATGTTTAAATAAATATAGTTGAAAGCTGTGAAATTATTAATGACTTAATTTACGGTTTTTTCATAATAGACTCTGTACTTAACAATTATAAATATTAATAATTATAAATATTAGCCAACTAAAAAATCTTTTTGAGGGTTGAAAATCCTAACAATATACTCAATTTTAAAAAACGAAAAAAAAAAAAGGAATTATGAGCCAAAAAAATTATTTAATTACATCGTTAATGTAAAAATTGGATTAATTTTTATTGCAATAAAACTTTTTCAGTATCATACATTCTAGTTGTAATATAGAATACCCCTTACAACAAAGTTTTCTCGCAAATTAAATACCAAATTTCTCAGAACTGTAATGGGATAGAACAATTTGGAAAACGCATTCGTATTCAGCATTCAAAAAATTATAAAAAGTGGTTAATCTTGTTTCAATGTTTGAAAGAAAGTTTTTTTTTGTTAAAGAATGTAATCAGTCAATGTTTGATATATATATTTTTTATTTTGTTGTGCTCTAAATTAATGTTATGTACAATCAAGAATCCCAGAATAAGAATCATCCTGCATAAGTTTTTCTTCTGTGCCTTTATACTACATACATTTTAATTCTTCAAAGTGCATTTGCAAATTTTGCGTAATGGAAGATTTTGTGTGTGTGTGTGTGTGTGTGTGTGTGCGTGCGTGCGTGCGTGTGTGCGTGTGTGTGTGCGTGTGTGTGTGCGTGCGTGCGTGCGTGCGCGTGTGTGTGTGTGTGTGTGTGTGTGTGTGTGTGTGTGTGTGTGTTGTGTGTATATGTATATATCTGTCTTCAATTGCATTTAATATATTGTCCCAGTTTTATATAACAAAATGCAACTAAAGAAAGATCATAGTTTTATATTGATTCATTATACAGTCCATTATTTTTAATTATTTTTGACAGCAACAATGAAAAGTACATTAATGATATTTTACAATTATTTTTCATCTTAGTTTATTAGTAATATTAAAAAATGTATTTAGTTAATCATAATATAATTTAGTTCGATTACAATTGATAAACGAAAAATTTTCAGGAAGACAATCGTCTTGAAGTTTTAATTTTGCAGTTACAGTATGTTTGTTATCGATGCTGTCGTCTTTATGATGCAACATGAACTGTATTCATTTACTGTAACGTATATTTTTTTAAGGATAAAATATATATATTAAGAGCAATCTGTTTTTAATTGAATAAAATTAATGAAAAGATTATATTTATCTTAGTATATAATAAGTAATTCAGTTATAAAAAAGCGTATTAAATAAGTATACGTTTATTACTCTGTACGTAAGTGAAATAAGGTGCTGACATTCGATGTTGTAATCCTGGATAGATAAGTAATTAATATAATTTAATGTTTTGAAAAGAAAATTCTATTTTTAGTACTGTTAAAATCAAAGATCGAAAATAATATAATTTCATGAATTTAATTTTCCTTGCTACAGACATGCAAAAGGGGATCTTATGTTGGTTGTCGCATTTTCATTGTTATAAATAAAAGATAGAGATCTTCGTGTATATCCGTAGCATCGAAATCTGGTTTATTCTTTTTCCACCGCAAGTTCTAAACTGGTGTAATAAATTAGAGTAAAACGGATATAGTTTGTTTTATTCTAACTTATTGCATTAGTTCAGAACTAGTTCAGAATTCTTCGAAAAAGAACAGACCTTCGAATTCACAATTTATGAAATATTGCTTTCGATCTCTGCTTGTGTAATATATACGTTGAACATCGAGTGATAAATATCGCGTGAAAGAAATACTCGGTTATTTCCGCCAGAATTAGCCATTGGCGTGGAGCTTTTTTCATTAAGACGTATATAAATATATATGTAATTATTCGAAAGACAGATATACTAGACAATCATAAAATTTGAAAGCCATTTCTTAATATGTATGTGGCATACGGTGATTATGTGTATAATATATAATATGCGCACGTACGCGCACATGGCATAAATGTGTGGGTGTGTGTGTGTGGTGTGTGTGTGTGTGTGTGTGTGGTGTGTGTGTGTATGTGTATGTACGTGCGTGCGTGCGTGCGTGCGTGTGTATGCGTGTGCGTGTATAGTATATATATATA